ATTTATCAAAAGCAATGAAAAGTATAATAATAGAAATCTTGATATATAAAATATCTCGCATTACCTAATGTAAATATTCATGATTATTTTTACGACTTGAATCCTAAAGTTTTCATGATTTGAACTCGTGATAATTATACAAAGACAATTTTATAATTACTTCGAGAAAAACTGTAACAATTATTGAATTTAATTATATATATATATTTAAAATATAAAAAAAATTACTTACCCAATAAATCACTTATATGAGATACTAATCCGATAATTATTTTTATAAATATTTTACTAATCTAGTTAAAAATAAATTTCGAAAACTTGTTATCACAAATTCAAATATTCTAATGTGGTGGTTACAATTTGTTTGTATTAGAAACTAGTTTTTAGGCATGTGCGTTGCACGTGTATCCCATATGAAAATCAATTAAAAAAAATTAAAAGCATATAATAAATTATTGGGAGGACATACGTATTTGTTACAAGTGTTTCTTGATATTTTCGATCTATTGCTCAGTAGATAAGTCTCGAAATAGGCATGGTGAAATTAAGCTTAGCCGTTCATAAGCAATTAAGTGTGCTATTGTCATAGCAATTAACCATTATGTTTAGTTTTTGGAACACTTCTAATGTATGATTATAAAATAGTTTCAGCTGCAATACTTAGGTTCAAAGAGAGTTAGGTTCAAACACATAATAATTGAGGACTGCTGATTTTTTCATTTTACTCCCCTATTATGTAATTTAAATATTACTATTTAATTAGATATTTAATTTATGTTTAGAATAATTATTTTATTGCATTTTAATTTTGTGTAGGGATAAAATCGTAATCCAACTTTGCACTTTGGAGCTTCGCCCACTTTTAATAATATATATCTATACGTATGATATATGATATGATTGTACTATTTGATTTATGATTTAGTTTGACTCGATGAAGAAGGCTATATAGGAGAACGAGTCGACAAGAACTTGAAAAATTCAGTATTGATTCTATATTTCTTTTTTATCAATATTTTCATGATTATAGTTCTAAGAAGAATGTGTACGTTGTATTTTTTTTCCTATCTAATTTTTTTTGTTGGTATTTTCTCCTGTAGACTTCGTTAATCTGTATTTTTATTTGGGCTCAAATTAGTATTTTATTATTCATTACATGTATGTTTTCATAGAATTTTTATGTTCTAATAAATTTATAAAAATTCACATGGAATACATGTATCCAAAAATTAATAACTTATATAGAAATGAATACATGAACAATTTGTTACTTTACTATCTATCAAACGAGCCCTAAAACCAGGACAAAGTAGACTTTGAGTCTTTGTCCTTTTTAGGGAACCTTAGTTTCCAACCAACTTTTTATTTGGTTTAGACATATTCCAATCAAGTCAACCCTTTAGAAATTAAAGTACACATACATAACGACTATGGAGACATTATATTGATCGAATCTTTTTGTTGATTTTTCTAAATAGCTATACAGGGGCGAATTTACGTACGAAAGTGGGAGTGATATGACATTTATACACTAGGCTTATTTATCTAGATATATTAGATTTTTCCTCTTTTTTTATTCCTTCGGAAAAGCTAGCTAAAAATTTAATTCTATGTGAATTTAATTTTTTTTAAAATTCTTTCTATCCCTCTAATCTTTACTTGTTTGTTGATATTAAAGTGCTTTTGGCTCTTATTTTTTCTTATAGAAATATGAATTAGTGGAAATTAAGTACAATCTGTTTAAATTCAAAAGGGGTAATTGCTTATTAAAAAAAATATTTTTCTCATTTATTCAAGATAAAATTGGGTTAAGAGAATTGCAAAGAATCGTGCCAAATTTATTTTGGTCCATTGACGTGTATTTATTTACTAGTTTCTAGATACGTGTGTTGCACGTGTGTCCCATGTTATTTTTTTATAGATCCGTTAGAACTATTAGAATTCTATGAAAACATGCATGTAATGAGTAATAAAATATAGCAATTACAAATTAATCTTTAAAAAATATGACAAGAAATAACAAATGAGGGGCATATTTTAATGTTCAATACTCTAACTATTTTGAAGTAACCAACTACAAATTTTGAACTTTGTGTAGTAGTTAGCAAACTTCTAATAAAGTCATGAATGTCTAATTTGAGCTCAATAAAAAAAAGAACTCACGACAATAAGAAATTTATAAAAAAAATTAAACAAAAAAAGTCTAATAGAGGGAGAACACAAAAAAATATACAATAAAAAGGAAAAATACATAAGACTTTAATCAAAATAATATAGTCGAAAAATAATATACAAATCAATACATAATTTTTTCTAGTTCTTGTCGACACCTTCTTCCATCACCAATATAAATTCAACGGTCGTCTTCATCGAGTCAAACTAAAGTATGACTTAAATTAAATAATACAATAATTCACTATTTTAACTATAGAATGAAAATAATAATCTTAGGTAGCAGTTGAAACAAAAAAGACGAATTTATATATATAAAAATTAAGGAATATCAAAAGATATAGGTTATGAATATAAAATATATGAGAGTTATGAATATTAAATATATCAATTGAATGAGTAATTGTATATGAGATATGGAAATTAATATTTAAAGCAAATAAAAGAGAAAAATATTACACTTAAATACTAAATGAATTGACCAAATTTAATTGTTACGGATTGGTTCGTGTGTTCAAGTGTAAGAGAAGAGATTGTAGACTCAATGAAATAATAAAGTGTAAATGGATTGCTATGATTATTTGTATGCTCATATTTCATCAGTCAAATTATTCAATAATAAAGGAGTAGAAAAGGCTAAAAGTCACTAAAGTGACAGTTAGTGTTTCTTATGCGTTGATTATAATTTCCATTAAATGGCTGAATAATTGAATTTTTTTCTTATCCCAAGCATAATACAATTTTTGTATTGCAAATGATAAATTTTAAATGGTATATATATATATATACTTGGACTTTCTCTGTGGTATAAAATTTCCCATTCCTTATTTCATAGGAAATTAGAAATTTGTAACTTTAAAAGTGCATCCTTTTTTCTCTAAATATTTTTTGGAGTGTTTAATCAAAATATATCAAATTTCAAGTTTAATCAACTTTATTATTAATACCTAAGTTTCATATCTTTTGTAATTTTAAATCATTTAAGAGTTTTCTATCTTTTGAAAAAAAATTTGACATCGCTGAAGTTATTCTCCTTATTTTGTAAAGAAAAGAAAGTTTGATTTTTAATAAGTTGAGCTTTTTATGTACACGTGTATCTCTATATAATCCTTTCATATATTCTCAGATATATAAGCTTATATGCTCAAAAAATATAAGTGTATTTATATATAAGTTTTTATGAAAATATAATTTATGGTTAATTTCATCCTATAAAGGTTAAATTATACATAAAATTAATTAATGCTAAAACATGTTAAAACTATGAAAATTATATATTCAATAAATATGGAAATATGAATGATATATAAACCAATAAAAAACATTGTCTTATCATTTTTCTGATATCATTTGCATTATTATTGAGTTCCCTTTAAATTTTGACGTAAGTTCAAGTGGAGTATTCCTAAATATTTGAATCTATATTTTAGACAGTATACAAGGAGTAAAAGAAAAATAATGAAAAAGGGAACATAGAAATAAAATCATATCATTCCTTTTTCAGCCACCGATGATGTTGCTTTTGTATTCATACGTTTTGAGTCCATATAAATAAAATAAAAGGCTTAAGTCATCGATAGTCACTTAAAGTTGTCCGCAAATTTCACTTAGACACCTCATCTTAGGCTTGTTCCAATTGAACACCTCAACTAATCAAAAAAATTACCCATCGAACACTTTATAGACGATCAGCTGAAATAAGAGAGTGTGTGTTAAATCCATGTCAGCAAAAAGGATTTAATAGGTACAAATTTCTTGTTGTCTAGGTGTTCAATAGGTATAAGTCTTTGTTAAGGTATTCAACTAAAATATGAATAACTTTAATTGGCTATCGATGACTTAAGCCAAAATAAAAAGGTAGAAGCTTTATAGTCATTCGAATTGATTGTATCATGTCATGCTATGACTCTTCACTATCTCCTTTACTGCAATTCTTAATTTCCTTCCTAACTGATCCCTAACTTATTTAAAATTAATACCTAATAATTTAAGAGCAACTTTCACATATAGCATACATAAAAGTCATATTTGTATGTTATAGCTATAGTTTGCATAATTGCGCTCCATAGTAAACATAAATATGTATATTTCACTATACATATACAAAAGAAAGCAATTGTATAATCTGTTTCGGTATACATATACAAAAGATCAATTGTATAATTTGTGTTTGTATAAAGCGATAAAGAGAGAGACAAAAGAAAACAGGGCAAGGGAAGATCATATTTGTATAATCATAAGTGTATAGGACGAAAATATATGCATTTGTATTTGTATATACAATTTTCTCTTGCTTTATACAAACACAAATGTATGCAATTTGTGTTTGTATAAAGTGAGAGAGGCAAGCGAGATCTGGGAGAGGGGAGAGAGGGGAACAAAAATATATGTATATACAATTTTCTCTCGCTTTATACAAACAGAAACACATTTTATACATTTGTGTTTGTATAAAAGCGAGAGAGGCGAGGGAGACTGTCCAGCGAGAACGAGAGTGGCGAACGAGATTTACCAAGAAAAAGGTGAAATAGCAACAGTTTGCTATGAGGTACAATTAAATCAAACTATGGTTATAACATTTAATTTTAATTAATAGTTTGCTATTATATACAGTTTTCCCTTTAATCATCTATTTCTGAAACACATTAAGTCAATCGAAAACAACCTCTCTACCTCTAGTCACAAAGGTAGAAGGTGGGAAGCGGTTTGTTCTTATTTTACCAGAGGGATTTGAATTAGCTCCTCCCGAGATAAAAGAAAAGATTGGCAATGTAACGTCTGCTTACACTCTACCTTCTATGTGTTGTTGAAATCACATAATAAGACAATTTATAAAAAGAGAATAACTTCATTCAGTCTTGTGTATCTTTAAATACAACAAGCTAAAGCTAAAGGAGATGAAAGTTGTATCCAAAACTGCATTAATTTCAAGATCCAATGGGAGTAATGTTCTTTCACTATATTCACTGATGAAACAAGAAAATCAAAGAAGAAAACTAAAACTAAATAGAAGAATAATTAAGCATTGGCATTGATCAGCTCCTTGGTTGCTGCTGGAACAATTTGCTGAGGCTGCAATCACAAAATTGCAAAAATATCAACTTACACTAGTGAATAATGAAATCTACAGCGCCTTTGCGCGGAAAAAAAGTAGCTTTCAAGAACATTTTGACATTTAGTTACACATGTATGAAGAAGGATAGGAAGAGATTGATTCAGGATTTAAAATTTATGGTTCGAGTTCGAAATTCTACCACTTATCTATTATTTATGCTTGTGTAGTTATAATAAACACATGCAGTGCCTGAGCCAAAGTATGCTACATCCGCCCGTGGACAAAATACTGGAAAACACAACTTAAATGCATAGCACATGAATAGTATGCTTCTTTTGAGCCGCGGGTCTATCGTAAACAACCTTTTTACCCCACGAAGGTAGGGTAAGGTCTACGTACATATTACCCTCCCCAGACCCCACTTGTGGGATCACTAGGTACGTTGTTGTTCTTGTAATAGAAGTTCTGTCCAGCATCAGCAGGAACATAGAAGTGTTATCTAATTACAAACTGCTTTGATATGCATTACTTAAGCCGAGGATCTTTCAGAAATAGTCTCTCTACCCTCCCCAAACCCTCCCCACACTAGGTATGTTGTTGAAAAGAAAAATCCCTTTTCAAATTCTTAAATCTCATTTTGATTGAACTACATGACTGCAAAAACAAGAGAAATATTAAGATTAGGATTCATGGTTAGTACAACCATTACCGAGTTTCTAAGTGTTGTATCATCTAATCTTTCGTGTTTCTACATTACAAGTTGCAACCAAGCAATAGCATTCAAAATGGACGATGAAGATGGTCATGTTGTAGGTTAAAAGCTTAAAGATATCAAATCCATTACTTACCGGAGCTAATTCTTCCTCATGCTTTGGAATGAAAGCAGTATCAACGTTCCCGTTCTTAAAGTCCTGTTGAACAACGGACCAAAGCAAAATTAGGTTCGCCAAAATCTCCCAAGTCGGTATACACGTTAAGAACATGGGAGTCCACCTACCTCGATATCAAGGATGAGTTTATGATATTCTATTGTGGTAGGAACTCCTGTCAAAAGAAAATGTAATTTGAGTGCTGGGTGGATTTTAAACCTCTCATGGCAACTTAAAGAACTGACTCTACTTTGCAGTGCAAATAAGCACTCATATATCCAGGAAACCATTGAAGGTTGGTCTTACCAGTGATAATGGTGTCATTAAGTGCTCTTTTCATGCGCTCAATAGCCCTCTCACGTGTTGGAGCCCATACGATGAGCTGCAACAGTTTCATAAATATTTTTTTGGAAAAAGAAGATATGTTAATAGAAGGAAATAGTAGAACAAGCTGCAACAAAGATCAAATAGCTTTTAATTGCTGTGTTATCAACTTCAAATAACGACCATCAACATGAGAAATGGAAAAACAGTCATGCATACTTCTATGATCATACTCCAATAGAAGTTCCCTCAAGTCCAGTCCACAGAATCCATTTAAATGTTTGTAACATGACTATGGAAAGATGGCTAAGATGGCTAAGATTTTCAAAATCAGTAAAGATAAACTAATCGTCGAACCACATGTCTTGCATAAGGTTTACTATCACACAAATCTACTTCTGGTTTTAAACGTTCATTGGGTGGTCTAGGAAAACATGAGTACCAACTTCCATGATTTCTGCTGGACTTTGTGGCAATTGTACTTGGATAATTCGAAATGCGAAAAGCATTAAGCAGCGACTTAAGAAGAGAAGAGTGACCACCCAAGTGCCCCCACAGTACATGTCCATTTAAAAATGTAAGAGAGGCCCGGGGTCCATGGAGAATGGGACAGGTAAAGAGAAAGAAACCCACCTTTCCTAGCAGGGAATCGTAGCTAGGTGGAACCACATAGTCAGGATAAACATGGCTATCCATACGCGTAAATGGACCTCCAGCTGGTAGATATGAAGTGATTCTCCCTATTCATGAAGAAAACAAGCTTAGATATATCAGGTAAAATGCAAAACAGTGAAAGTAATGTCTATTCTGATTAACAATCTGGCTTCCATTCAAGAAAAACAGAACGAGCATATCCAACAAAGTGCAATTCAGTCATACAAATCATAAATGTCATTTTCTTCTCACAAGTTTCACTTTAATGCTGACAGTTCTCAATGTAAATTTTAAGAACTCAAGAATTGAATAGCAATTTTTTTTTACATCAATTTCTTCTGAAATGTTAAAATCGGGGTAAAATCCACCATAATAGGAAAGGAACGGTGGTAAGAGAAATAAAGAAGTCATCAACTACCTTTCGTCTCTATATTAACTAAAATTTAATAGTAAAGATGTGAATTATGTCTATTTGCTATGGCATTTGCATATTTATCTCTGGCAACATTCACATGCAGGGATCAATATGAACATATTTTTTTTTTTTTTATAACCGAGAAATCTGTCTGGGACCCGCCCTTTGGACCAATCACAGCCTTCTAAACTCGGTGGATAATGAGCCCGCCCCTCTACCCTTCTCCACTTAAATACCGGGCTTCGCTTTGCATGGTTTGGGGCTTGAACCTGCGACCTAAGCCACAAATCCACCACCTTTTGCCACTTGAGCTAGGCCTTGGAGGCGGGATCAATATGAACTTGTTAAAACATCTAAGGACTTTTTTAACGTCATGTACACCATTCTGAAACATAGAGTGATTTGCTTACCCAGGCCAATTGATATCACAATGAAGTATGATTCAACCTTAATTTGTAAATAAATAATCTGACAGAGTCTGCCTTGAAGGTCATTAATCATTGCTTTAAAGGAAAACATTATTCTACAGACAGAAAATTCAATAAAACCTGGGCCGGGTCTGAAGTTTTTGAAAGCATCTTCTGCGTTTATACGGCATTCAATTGAGTGTCCTCTAAGCACAATATCCTCCTGTAAGTAAGAACACAAATTAACAAATGAAAATTAGATAATTAACTGTAGTTCTGTTTTTGGCAATCTTAAAGATATATCATCACTCCTCAGAGATTTTTTTTTTATCATTTCTTATCTGATTCTCTATCAACATTATATAATTCAAAGCAACAAAGGATCATTTTTATACACTACAAAATTACTTTTATACACCGAAATTACTAAGAATTCAACCATTAAATGATGGAATTATTGATCCATGCAACTTACTTTAAGCATTACAGACTTTTGAACTCTCATTTTGATATAGTGCAAGTCAAAACACAATCTTTCACTGAAATTGTTATAATTTTCCTTGTCCGTCTCTTTCCAGAAACAGAAGTCCAATGCAAAGAAAAATTGACTGTTCTCTGTTACCTGTTGGTATCGGAGCTTTTCTCCCATAGCGACACGGATCTGTTCCTCTATCAGATCAACAGAGGATATCATTTCTGTCACTGGATGCTCTACCTAGATATTCAGCAAATCGACACATTACATTATTTGCTAAACAATATTAAAAGTAAAAGACAGATTACATTGTTATCGTTGAGTTTCTAATTATCTAAAAAGCTTAGATCTTGAACAGAGCTTCTTTCACCTGAATACGAGTGTTCATTTCCATGAAGTAAAAGGACCCTCTCTCATCCAATAGGAACTCTATGGTACCAACACCAATGTATCCTATGGATGCTGCTGCTGCAACAGCTGCATCACCCATGGCTTTCCTCAGCTCTGATGTCAATGCAGGGGACGGTGCTTCCTCCAGCAACTTCTGGTTTCTTCTCTGCACAAATAAGCCATTTCAATGGTGCACTTTGTTAGTAAATGCCACTTGACTTAACAAGATTACTGACATAACTTCACAATGTAATGAATTTCTTAAACATAATTAATCATAAAGGAGTGTTTGACATTCAACCAACCATGTTACAACAAAATGAAGCAGCACCAATTATTTACAGAATTTATAATACAGAAGAGCTTTCCAATAATGCAAATCACAAAAATGCAGAAGATCAAAAAGAGATATTTGTATAACATTGTACCTACCTGAATACTGCAATCACGCTCTCCAAAGTGTACAACATTACCATACTTGTCCGCCAAAACCTGCATATAGCATGAAGCTGTGAATCAGCACATTTGAATCATAAAATAATAGAATATTAACTGTATATTACAATGTGAATGGTTAAACCAACAAGGATTACCACTATAAGGAGATAAACTATCTACAATACATTCAAGCAATAATTAGGATTATTTAATTTTCTGCATGAGATTGATTAAAGATGATACTTTAGAAAAGAAATGCACTTTCTAATGGTCATTTATTTATGTTGATCACTCGTGATGCTAAGGGTAAAAGATGCAACTGAGCTCCTCACAGATTCAATAAACAGCAAACTGAAATAGGTTGAACTACAGATAAAACAGAACAAAGAAGGATCTCAGACTAGTTGAAATTAAAGGACGAGGAGTTGAACTAGATCAAGAACCAAAACTAGGCTTTTTTTGGGATAACCATGGTATTTAGGCTTAATAGGCAGTGTTGTGAAAAGCACGCTTAATCCCTAAAGCGAGCCTCAAAACATGTTGGGCACTTCACCTCGCTTAATGTGTACTTCAGTGTCGTCATCATGACTCTAAGACAAACTCTTCCTTGCAAATGAGTTTTCCGGAAGAGGCGACATGAAACTATTGATATTTCCCTTTATCATGAAAAAAATTCAATCTTTGTCCATATATTTGTTATTCATGCTTATAACTATTAGTCTTGGACTAAACAAATACAAATTTGTAATTCTTCTCCATTTGCACCTTTTTTTCATTTAAGTGCACATTTTATTTGCACTTTTTGCTTAAAGCCCCATTGGAGCCTGGAGTTTTTTGCGCTTTTCGCTTTTGATAACACTGCCAATAGGTACCATGTAACTCTCTCCACCAAGGCTAGGACATGACAGATCGGAAGAAATCTCCAAGTGTTTTTGTCTCTGCTGGGATTTGAACCTGAAACCCCATTTTCATTAACAACTAGACCACACCCTTGGGTGCAACTTGCCTCCATCTTTCTCTTCTACAAACCAAATTGATCCGGGAGATTTTAATATGAATATAGAAAACCATGATACGTCCCAATATATTGTTAATCACAGTCCTTTTCCTTCTCTTCCCAAGGAACCATGACAAAGCTTAAACCAAGAACCACTTTCATTTGCCACTCTTGTGTATCCTCCTTCATTACCTCAAGTACTAGTAAGATTAATTAATAGTTCCATCAAGCAAAATAAAAAGACAAATTAATAGTTAACAAGTGTCAAATGTCATCATATGTCTAGCACCAATTACTAAATCAGACAAGAAATGACAGAGGTACTATCCAGATTCTGCATCTTATTGCACAAAAATTCACCACTGGATGGCAACTTATAAATATATATTTATAAAATAGTGTGTGTGTGTGTGTCTATTGTAGAAGTTGTTCATAATTGTTACACTAATAGCAAAGCGTTTTTTTCATTTCTAAGAGTGATTCTTTTGGGTCAAATATATGTGGGAATTTCAAGTCCCAATATAAAGAAATAAATCTGCCAAAACAAAAGAAACACTAATCCATAACTCAGACATTTTATGTGCACACAAAGCCTGAGACAACAGCTCATTAGCAGTTGTACGATGTAATGTCCAACATCCAAGAGTTGTCAGTCATTTGATACATGTATTCCAATTCTTCCCAAAACAGAGTGGCTTTTTAAAAATAAAAAGTATTCCAGTTCTTTCCAAGAACTCACATAAAACTTTGATCTCTATGGAGTCAAATTCTTTTTTTCTCAGTTAGAAATTCCTCTTGGTTAATGAAGTAAGGTGCAACGATACCTGAAATTCAATGTGCCTAGGATTTACGATGTACTTCTCCAGATAAACGCCATCATTTCCAAATGCAGCTGCTGCCTCACTCTTAGCTTGCTGAAAATGAAAAAAGACCAAGCTTAGCGATAAAGTCACAACTCTGGTGTAAGAGCAATTATGCTTCATGATATGTTTTGTGGGTCTGCTAGATTACGTATGATTCGTAGAAAAGGATGATTAGAGACCACCATGGAAGAAAATGCTGGGCAAAGCTTATATAAAAAGAGTTTCCATTCACATGCATGAGCACGGGTGATATGAGATATTATCAAATGCTCAGGGAATAATAACAATAATATCTGAAAATATTAAGTGCCTGAAGAAAGCAAAAGAGGATATGCAACAGTCACAACAGTTTCCTCAATAACAAATTACAGGAAATACTACTTTCATCTATATGAAAATTCCAAAAGATCTCATTGGATGAATCTCCAGAGATTAAAGAAGTCAAAAGCAAGAGACTGATCTTCACCTACTATGTTTGAGACTTAAAGATTGGCATACGATACAAAGAAAAGTACCTGCAATAATTTTACGAACTCATTAGGTTCTTTAGCAAGACGCATTCCACGTCCACCACCACCAGCTGTTGCCTTCAAAACATAAAAGGTTCACAAGTTCAGTGACAACCCTTCAGACGCTCAATTTTAATCACTTTATTTCGAGCAAATAACTTCCATAATTGTGCATCAAACATCCTTTTCTCTGTTTCCCTTTATTATATTCTTGATCAAAATTAAGCATTATAACACTGTATCAAAGCAGGTAGATAAGAACCAGATATAGCTACAGGTTTATTTTCATTGTACCACAGTATGATATTCAAACTATGTAACTTTTCATATTAAAAGAATGCTGGATTCAAATATAACACTTGATAGTGAAGCAGTTCAGTAAAATTTTCAAAATGAGCAAAGTAAATGGAGGCTTCGCTTGTGTCAAGTTATAACAATTGTTCCAGTTGAGAGTGTCGCTAATTGACGTCTTTCTTTGCATTTATCCAGAAGAGGGTTTGCAAGAGGCACAGAGTCTGTATCGGTGTAGTAACAATCTTCTCTGGAAATGTAAGGATACCTTTAGTTATGCCAATAAAAATTTGCCCAGTTAGTTATGTTAAAAATGTCTTTCCTAGACCTGACAAGTTGATGACTTGATCCTTTATTCGAAATTACCATTTAAGAAAAATTAACTCCATCAAGTCCTATACAGTTCCCATTGTTAGAAGAGAACATTCACTAGAAGTAGAATGCCAGAAAAGAAGTTCATGTCATACACAACTTCAGAGGCTAAAAGAAGCAAAACTATGTATGAGACAAAGGATGATAACTGTAGAACAAACACGACAATCAGTCTCTTAATGCGGAAAGGTATTCAAGACCGGCAAATGTTTTCACAAAAGTCCATAATACTATAGCCGCCTAGAATTAAAGAGACGAGAAGTCTAGCAAGCAGACCCAACAAGCCAATCAGTCTCCAAATGCACAAGTGACAGGTATTTCACATATACTGATATAATCACTATAGTCAAAGGGATATATTTTAGATACCTCACACCACAGAGCATTTGATAATTCAAGCTACTTCAGTTTTGAGAAAAGTTACCTTAATCATCACTGGGTAACCAATCTCCTCAGCGAGCCTTACACCTTCTTCAGTGCTCTACAATGGGGATTATCTAGTTATTAGTAGGTAGCCAAGAAACAGCAACACTTATACAAACAAATATAAAATGCATGTGCGTATGACGATGTTCAAATGACGGAAATGAATCAAAATATTATGGCATGACACAGTGATACCTGCAATAGTCCGTCACTTCCTGGTACAGTTGGAACACCAGCATTCTTCATTGTATCTCTAGCAGTGGCTTTGTCACCCATGACTCTTATACTGTCTGGCTGCAATTTTAAGATAAATCTTTTATAATGATGTTTACATTTCCTCGTGTTTTGAGCAACCATATGTCTTTTCATATTTGTAGTGTTGGGACCAGCTAGCGCAATTTGACTGATCCACAGGCAGGTCGTTCGGCCAACAATCACAGATTACCAAGGCAATCATGCCTAGCAAAGCTGGAGCAGATGGGCCCAACAAGTGTTGCTGCTAGGATTCGAACCAGGGATCTCCAGGTTGTCACTCCAGTGCCTCAACTACTAGATCAACTCCTTGGGACGAATAACCATGTTTATTATGGCTCTCTAGGTTAAGTAGAATGTGTGATATTATCCTTTACTAACTTTTAGTTTTCTTTGGTGAACAGGATTGGAAGTGGATATTACAAAAATAAGATTTTACTTAAAGCCAGAAGTTGTTGCTAAAAGACAAAGAATGTAAGTAATCCTTTTAATTTATGTGGCTATTGACCAAAACATAGCAGAATACATTCTGAGGGTGAATGATGCATATGCTTCCATTGAGCAAAGGGAAGGAAATGACATGGTTATGTATGTATATGTTTGCTGTTTTGGAAAAGAAACAAGAAAAGGGACCTCCATCAATAAGTCACTAATCTCAATAGAGAAGCTAATGCTTCTTTCTTATCATGCTTGAGAGTGTCAGATTGTTGTATTAAAACATTCAGCTTATACTGAAAAAAAATATCTTCTGATGGAAGAAGAGGAACTACCACGTTAGTTATAAAGATATGTAGATATACCTATTCGAAAGATCTTATTGAGCAGAAGACAACAAGCTCTCTCGGTTGTACCACAGAGCTCTATTTGAAACTCACATGGCTGAAGCCTGAAAATATTTCAATTTATCCCAGTAATTTCTTCTCTTTGACCAAATATTTGATTATTTACCCACAAAACGCCAGCTAATTATTAGAAGCTTTTTTTAATAAATGTGGTGTTGGGGCCAGCTAAGCACACCTTGAGTAATTCTACAGGGTACCTGCTACATCCCACCAACAGAGGTACCAAGTTCACCAAGGTTGGAACAGATGGGAAGAAATCACCTTGCTTTTGCCTTATCTACTTCATTGACCACTATGCCACACCCTTGGGTGCCTTAGAACTCCCATTTTTATATACAACGACATGAGGATCAGCTGAATTTCTTCAAACCATACACAGATAGATAAAACAGATTAAGATTTCACTGTACTACTATACTTGATATAGCAGTGATCATGAAGTGATCATGAGCAGATGCATAGGAATCACACTAGATAAATACTTTTAAGTTCAATGTCTTGAATTGATGGATTTAATATCTAATATGAATCGATCAAAAGTCAAAGGATAGATTAGAATAATACTAAGTTTTACCTTTCGTGTTTCTGTTTTGTTAGTATCTACTGAATACAACACGGATACCATGGAAAATACAGATGCCTACAGGTTTAATATAGGTAATAAGATAATGACGTGTGTAAGAACTTACATTTGGCCCAATAAAGTTGATTCCATGTTCTCTGCACATCTCAACAAAACTTGCATTCTCAGAAAGGAAACCATATCCAGGATGCAACATTGTACATCCGCGACTGATAGCAGCAGACAAGACATTTGGGATCACTAAATACCTATACACGGTAAATGGAGATGTAAATGCCGTAATTCTTGGAGATGAAAATTATGAAACGAAGATCAAATAAAGATATGAAAATGTTAAGGATTTTCTTTTGGTGCACCCATTTAGTTCCGGTTTGTATAGAGGATTGGGTATCGTTTGGAGAGAACCATATTTTGTAGGTTTCTCCTTTTTTGGTATACCTCTTGTATACGGACATAATGGCCTTGTCATTATCAATGAAAATCTTTGGCGATATTTAAAAAATGCAAAGAATTTAAACTTAGTTTTGTCCAATAAGAACAGCAAGTTTCTGATAACTTACGACTGATTACTTGGTGCTTCTCCAATGCAAACAGATTCATCAGCTAGCTTCACATGTAAGGCATCTTTATCAATGGTCGAATAAACCGCAACACAAGGAATTCCCATCTCATGGGCAGTTCGAATTACGCGGACAGCAATCTCTCCTCTATTTGCCACCAGAATTTTCTCGGCGCGACATGTCACAGAAAGAGCACCATGACCCTTGCGAGAATTAGTACGAACTCTGTGTGCTTGAGCTGTCTGCCTTGGAAAGTTTATCCTATTTCCAGCTATAAAGCTACACTGTGAGCTCCTAATACCGCTCGTTCTCCCCAAAAATAAACCCTATTCAGAACATGCACCCAAAGTTTAAGGTTATCTGTAGCATCAAGATCTTTATTTGGCGGGCAGAAAGGTGCAAAAAAGCAGAATATATTTCAACTCATATAGAAAATACCTACTAACAAAATGCACCATAACATACCCTCTGGGACTCTCATCTTGAGATGTGTGCAAGAACATTTATATATTGAAAGAAAGAGACAAATGTGCTGACTAGAAGACTTCAAACAAGGTGAAAAGAAAATTCTCCCTACCTCTCTTTTACATGATGATGTTTCAAGTAGTTTTAAGAAAAAAGAAACACCTTTAACACAAAAACAACAACTACGCCTCAGTCACAAACAAGTTGGGGTTGGCTATATGAATCCTCATTTCTTCATTTACGCTCATATCATAGTAAAATATATATATAAAATACTTATAATAAAAATAAACAATAAAAGTTCCATACAAGTCTAAAACCTATCCTCAACTACCAAGCATTTGCCAGTCTAAAATACCAAAAGTATTTTAACACATCATATTTTATTTTTTTTAGCAATTATTAAATACCACAGGTATTATTACTATTTAGTGGTATTCAACCTGTCAGGTCAATTCCCAGAAGAGCATATCATTAATAACAAAGCAGGATTTTAAGATTAACACACATTACATATAGAAGTGCCTTACGGGAGTAGAGCAAAGAGCAGATTTGCCACAAACGCTAGTCATGGCTGCAGAATCCATTTCCTGATCAATGTAATCCAATTCCTGTCTTCCTGCCAAGAACTGGGAAAAACAAATCTTTTGAACATTGATCTAAGACCCACAAAGAATAACACAATGATTAACAAGAAAATGAAGAAAACAAGCAATAAGAAATGTCATTAGCTTTGTGTGTACCTATTACATTGACAGAGACATGAAAAAAGAAGAGATGGGGATAAAAAAACTATGTGGGTATGGAAAAAGAACAAATCTTTAGAAGAATGATTCAAGACTCACAAAGAATAAAACAATGCAAAACAACAAAATGAAGAAAACAAGCGATTTAGAACTGTAATTAGCTTAGTCTGTACCTATTACTTTGACAGAGAGAAAGAGATGTGTAAGCAGAGAAATGGGTATAAAAGACTAGGTGGGTATGGAAAAAAAAACGAATCTTTAGAACATTGATTCAAGACCCATAAGAATAAAACAAAACAAAAAAATGAAAGTAAACAAACAATTAGAACTGTAATTAGCTTAGTCTGTACCCATTACTTTGACAGAGAGTTGGAAGCAGATGAAAGACAGGTGGGTATGGAAAAAGAACAAATCTTTAGAACATTAATTCAATACCCACAGAGAAAAAAACAATGCAAAACAACAAAATGAAGAAAACAAACAATCAGAACTGTAATTAGCTTAGTCCAAACCTATTACACTGACAGAGAGAAAGAGACGTGGAAGCAGAGAAATAGGGAGGTAGGTATGGAATAAAAAAACAAATCCTTAGAACATTGAATCAAGACCCACAAGAACAAATCAATGCATAACAACAAAATGAAGAAAACAAGTTAGAACTATAATTAGCTTAGTCCATACCTATTTCTTTGACAGAGAGAGAGATGTGGAAGCAGAGAAACACTAGGTAGATAGGAAAAAAAAAACAAATCTTTAGAAGAATGATTCAAGACCCACAAAGAATAACACAATGCAAAACAAGAAAATGAAGAAAACAATCAATTATAACTGTAATTAGCTTAGTCTGTACCTATTACACTGACAGAGAAATAGAGATCTGTAAGCAGAGAAATGGGGATAACAGACTAGGTGGGTATGGAAATAAAAAACAGATCTTTTTCACATTGATTCAAGACCCGCAAAGAATAAAACAATGCAAAACAAGAAAATGAAGAAAAAAAACAATTTAAACTGTATGGAAGCAGAGAATTACACTGACAGATAAATAGATGTGGCAGCAGAGAATTACACTGACAGATAGATAGAGATGTGGAAGCAGAGAATTACACTGACAGAGAGATAAAGATGTGGAAGCAGAAAAATGGGGATGAAAGACAAGGTGGGTATGGAATAAAAAACAAATCTTTAGAACATTGAACCAAGACCCACAAAGAACATCTCAATTCATAACAACAACATGAAAGAAAACAAGCAATTAGAACTGTGCATAGCTTACCAATTACTACTTTAACAGAGAAATGGGGATAAAAGACAAGGTGGGTATGTAAAAAATACAAATCTTTAGAACATTGATTCAAGACCCACAAAGAAAGTGAAGAAAACAAGAAATTAGAAGTGTAATTAGCTTACCAATTGCTACTCTGACAGAGAAATGAGAATGAATGACGAGGTGGGTGTGCGGTAGATTTGAAGAAGGAAAAGGTTGATGTCGATGAAAACAAGAAAGCAAGAAACTTGACTGTGTTCCAAAACAAGATTGAAAGGTCCGCCAAAAACTGTGTTACAGGTTTTAGCTGCTAATGGGCTTTGTGATTTGATTTAAATTTTTTCAGCCGTGTCAGGTACACACATTGAAGTCCAGCTAAATTTGAATTCGTATCGAGAAGTCCCACACTGAGGATAAAGCGTTTTTTAACAAAAATGACTCTGTATCCAAGGGAACTCGAACTTGACTAGTATTTAATTTAATTTTTCGGGAAAGAGTCAAAATGTCTTAAATTCTGTGAAATTGAATATAAATATGCTTAATTAATAGTTTGATTTGAAAATGTTTTTGTAGTCATGATTCAAAAATGTTTTTGTTATTACTTATGAGCTAAAAATTGTTCTTTTTTAAAATAAATATTTTTCTTTTCTTTTTTTGAACAAATTCTTTTAATGATTTTTTATCAAAAAATATTTATCCTATATCAATTTGAGAAAAAATCTTAGTAATTCTATTTATTGCTATTTGAATGAAAATTAATCATGAGTTTACTATAATCATATATATGACATATTATTAAATAAAAAAGTACATGGATTTATTTTATTTTAATTGATAAAATGAGACTAAGAAGAAAAATAAATTACTTGCTATTTATTTATTAGTTAAAGTAATTTTAAAAAAAAATCGAACAGAAAGGTTCTTTAAAGTGATATTTTTATTAGGAATAGAAGAGTTTAAAGAGAAAAAGAAATAATATACTACTCTATTTATTAGCAACATTTTTTACCTAATAAGTAATAATAGATACATTTTTTGATTAAATTATTAGCGGTAAGAATATTTTGGATCAAATTATTGACGATAGGCCACTTTTAGACCAGACTATTAACAAAGGATATTTTTATTCAATTTCACATAATTTTAGTATACTTTGCCCTTTTTTGTTAATTTTTTATCAAATATAATTTGATAAAACTAGCTCATACTCCTTCTATCCACTTTTATTCAATATTACATTAAAATTAAACGCCTGATTGAAAAAATTAAAAAAGTTAATTTACTGATTAGCTCCCTATTTATCTTTATTATTAAATATAGTCATTACCCAAAGCATATTTCATTAATAGAAATATGAAAAATAGATAGTATTTTCTCATGTCATTGCTCTATGAATTTCTGTCGAAAAATTATGATGATGGGAAATTAAATTAAATTAATTTCTTAATATAAAAAATCTAATCCAATTTAAATCACTATTATCACTTATAGATTTTTATTTTGCATTATTTTTTTATTATTTTAGAACCGATAGTAATCCAGCTCACAAGTTCATACATAATTACGTCTATCTATGTTTATCCTTTAACGCACTATTTAGAAAATTAGAAGTAATAGAATTCATTTTTTTTAATTTAATGTTTTGTCTAATATTTTTTTAGCTCTTAAATACGAAAAGGAAAGATATAATTATTTATTCAAATAAGACAAAACCATAGCTACAAAATCAAATAAACGAAATCGAATAATATCAAGTTTAATTAGACGAAATTCTTACAAGCATTTTAAAAAATCAACCCGTACCAAACCAAAGTCAAACAACCTTATTTAGCCCCCAAGAGTGGGATGTTAGATTAGTCGAAAGATAGTTATCAATTCAAGAACATAAGGTTGTCAATCCCTTTGCCTTTCTTTTGAATCAAAGTAGATCGCAACTATTATATTTTAATTGGTCGGGATAATAATAGCTTCGTGTTTCTATAACAATAACTAGACATTGGTTGGTATTCCAACTCTGGGACAAGCCTTTAAGTTGTTTAAGTAAATTTTGTTCCTCAAGATCAATCCATAGATGGAGGGGTTAAGTATAGTATAGATTGTTGTTATTGTATACTTTTTATTTTTAATTTAAACCTAAAATGATGATTTCTCATATTTAAAAATAATTTAATTTTACTATAGTTATTATACCTTAATGAGATGATTTATTACTTGTCCACTTGTCGATGTTGAGGCCATTTTTCAATTACATGAAAAGTGAAAACCCTTGTTGGCATATCACTATTAGAGCATCTATCTATAGTGATAGTAATCCATCACCTCGACTTGAGTCTCCACCACATCAATTTCCTGCCCGCTTGTGGCGGTTAGGTTAGGGATCAAGCTACAAGTACGAGGCGATCGAGAAGAATGGAGGGGTGAAAATGAACTAGGGAAATGTCCAAAGAGGAAAATGACAATGAAATACATAAACTAAGTGGCATATTGTGACTTTATAACAGCTACATATATTTACATGTTTAGTGCCAGAAATTCACATCTAAAAACAAGTATTCACACCGGCTCAAGTCACATGAGCATATCCTTTTTCACTGTATACACTGGAGGATCGATCTTATGTTTCTCGTCTTCCTTTCATGACAGAGATCAGTCTTACAGGAAATGGTTAAAGATCACAGATGCGGAGAAATACCTTCGTTTACATCAGATTCTGAAACAGTATAAGGTATTTCCTGACCGCGCTTCAGCAATGAGCCCAGCAATTTGAACATTGCACAAGGCAGATATACCTTCAACACACTCCTCGTTTGAGCTCTGGTATAAAAAGAGCTTGTGCTTTTACTGATTAGTGTTGAAGTAACATAACTCCAGAATTGGTGTTTTTCTGCACCTCTAGTCAAAAGAGATCAGCATGATTCACCACTTCAAAGTTCTCCGGGCTTTGTGAGAAAAACTTTTCACAGTTACTTTGTCCGCAAATGTTAATGGGAATTCTTCATCAGCCTCCTCTCTTTGATCACACCAGTTCTCCGTGTCTCTATCATCCTTTGAACTTCCTTCCACAGGTTCACTACACGAGTAGGAATCCTCTGGTATATCCCGATACAAGTGTTTCAGCATAAAAAGAGCTGTATCGTTATCTCTCCAGTAATTCCTGCAAAATGTTAAATCCTTTTAAAGAATTGAATACACCATAGAACAAATGGAAAATCTTGATCAAACGCTGCCTTAGAGATGAGATCCACGAAGCAATATAGTACTATGGGTTGGCAAGCATTTTTGACCTGCCATGTCTCACAAACAAAACTATCTGCAACGGATTACAAAATGAGCCATATCTGGATTCGCATCCCAGCAGATACGAAATAACCATAGATGATCTCTTACTATTCTTCAAACCCTAGGTAGATAGGTTACCCAATACCTATATTGGTAGTAGGTAGCAAGTACAAAATAGATTAGTCGAGATGTGCATAAATTGGTCAAGACACCACAGTTAACCAAAAAAGTTGGAGTAAAAACTACACCATACCGCTTAAAATAAAAGCGCTAATTGTAAGGTCAAGACAGAATTCAGACTTCTTAAAAGCTCTTCACATATATACAGAAGACTGCAACAAATTGACATTTAAATATATGAGACTATTGACAACTCTAAATTCGATGGAGTTGTCTACGGATGTCGAAAGGCTGGCAAAGATGCAAGTATACCAGGCTTATTCAAAAGAAATGTTGGTTATGACTCAAGAAGCTCCAATAATCAGCTTGAAATAGGGAATTTGAAGTTGAAATGATGAGTATTTCAAGTGAAATAGTAGTGTTCACTACGGCAACCAAACATTATGGCAACTTGCAAATATTCTTTTTAAAAAAATTGAACTTCAAATACTCGTTTTTCAATCTCAACCAAACATTGTCCAAACAAGGAAAACCAATTTGAACTTGCTTTTCTCCAAAAGATTGAAAGTACACGAAGGTTTTTTTTGGTTAGCTGCATCAGGAAAAATAATTCTGGCATAATATTCAGCATAACTAATAAGACATTTGTTTTGCAACACAACTTAAATTACAAATGTTATTTCTGTGTAAATAACACAACATTTTGTATCCCTACATTATTACTAAATCTCTGAACTAGTTCTTGAACTAAACAACAACTCATTCTCTTGACTTTCAATGTAATGCATTATCTAGTTCAAGAATAGTAGGTAACTAGGATGACAAGGAAGAAAGAACTTCTAGGATAAATTGACCAAACTTTTTGCTCCACCGATTTTTAGATTGACAAGAATGGTACTTAAACATGCATTTCTTGCCAACATCAAAATCGTCCTGGACAAATTTTGCTTCCAGAAAGTTCAATTGACACAACCAGAAAGCAGGGGAATTCATATTTTTTAAAGCTTTAATTAATGAGTCTAGTGGGGTTCTCTATTGCATAAAAACTATATTGAGTTACAGAAAAGTCGACTACGACAAGGAAAGATTTGACAGAGTTCCCTAACAAGAGGAGACTTGTAGAGAGAAGTAGTGGAAATTCCAAGAAAGGCGCATTAAGAAGTGGAGTAAGTTGACACGGGTTGAACTACCATAACCACATAACCATTAAGCACTTCTGTCTCTGAATTACTTAATTCAAACTCCTCCACAATTCCTGTCACTTTGCATATCATACAAGTCTTACAACTACAACAACATACACAGCGAATCTCACAAGTGGGGTATGGGGAGGAGATCCTACCCCTACCGAAGTCTTTGCAGTATGAAAAGACACTATGAACACAGAGAAGATTTTTGTCATTGAAACACTTCATATCTCACCATTTTCTTCATTTGCACATGAGAGATTTTTGGGTAAACATGCCTGTCAATCATTATTTAGGGGAGACATGCAACTGACATAATGAACCCTCTTATGTTGATAAGGATACTTACGTGTGTGCTCCAAGGGTTGAAATGTATGCATGCCGAAATGTTTTATCCTGCAAAAAGAAAGAACAAAAGGCAATTGCGACTGGTGAGTTAAAATATATACACTCATTCATGGACACTGTCAGCTGCCAGGTGTTAAAAAGGAGCACATAGTAAGAACCTAATGATATATATACACACACACGAAATCATGTGGATTTCAAAAAGGAAAAAAACCTTTGATTCAGTTTGCTGGACATTAGAACTTAAGTTCACAACATGCACAGACAGTAAAGCACAAAATCTGATTAGTAGACGGTGGAATGCCTCATGCTCGTAAGCTTTTAAGACTTGATTCCTTACTGTAATCGTAATTTTTAAAGTTTCTAAAATTATGGAAAAGCTTCTTTTGATGATCTTTGTCTAATGATTAGTATGAGAACAAGAGTCATACTTCCATTTTTGTGTATAACATAAAAGTTAAGAATTCAGTTTTCCCGACACATGCTGAAAGAAGATGGTGGAATTCTTCTGTCATAAATTCTATGCCTTCAAGTCAACCACGAGTGCTATTAATCTTGACCAAAACCTTCCTCCGCTGGGGTCCTGGAGAACATGTGAAATTCTGTTTTCGGTGAGAAGTGATTGTAGGGGAAACCCTCCTTACTCTCCAATCTTGCCCATTACCGACAGGGATTAAATCGACGGAAATGATCAGCATTAATCATAAGAGATTTTACATGCTTTTTTATAGCTGGAAAATTCACTTTTCCACCTTGTTTTTGTCATCAATGGTGAAAATGTATAGACCCATTTGAACTGATCTCCTGATTATTTTTTTTGGAAAAGTCTATGGAGAAGAAAGGTGAAATTTTTTTGAACAAAAGGAAGAGAAAAAACATAATTTAAGCTTTTCACGTGCTCAAATATTAGTGTAAAATAAACAATATGCCATGTCAACACAAGGTGTACTCAAGACACACCTCTGTAAAGTGAGGTGTCGAAATGGTCACTAAGAAAGTTGAGGTGTCTAACTGGCAGTTCGTGCCAAGTTTAAGGGGGCTATCTATGTATTGAATAACACCAATTTGCATACTGAACAATCACCCACATAAATATGAACATCTACAGCTACAGGAAAACAATGAAAGGGTAGAAAGAGCAAGAAGAATAGCCATGTAACACAGAATATTAAGCCTTCAATTGCAGTAGAAACTGGAAAGATATAACGTAAATAGAACAACTGTTTGAAGGTCTACTGGCGAATGAACGTACTTGTAAAACATGATCTACTCGACCATCTTCACTTCCAGTTAATCTCTCCATCATAATTGAGCCATATGACCTCTCTTCTATCTCCTGAGACTCTTGGGAACCCTCTGCAAGAAAGTGACATAATTACCTAGACAGATAGAAAGGTAAATGGTGTTTGTTGGGTGAGGGGAAAGGCTCCAGCTTGATTTAGAGATGATAGCTTCTGTCACAGAGAAAAGGGAAGAGAAACTTTTATAATCTAAACTGGAAGAAAGCACTCGAAAAAAGAAATGGTTTCTTTTATTACCATCTTCGCCATCCTTGTCTCTTGATTGACAAAGAGTAATCACCTTTACCTAATCACAAAGTGTCATTAATATCCATAACTCATTGGCATCACGATACCTAATTTAAAACCATAAAATAATCACACAAATAAAGGCTAAGCACTAAAACAAGCAAGTCTACCCATCTTCTGTAAATTAATCCAGGATTGAAGTTTCAAACTAGTAGAAAAAATGCATGTCATAAAAAATAGTTAGATGAAGAAGACATGTTTCCAGTATGAGAAGTAAAGGAGAATATCAGGTTATAGAAGCATAACCCAAGTCATTCAATTCATGGTTTCAACAATAAGCTGATATAAACCGAAACAAATAATTATTTTCCATGTCAAGTTATCTGTTCAACAGGGATCTCTACTTCTACGAGCTGTGCTTTATAATGTTAAAAGATCATGCACAGATCTATACTTTAAACAGCTGTTCTCTTATTTTGTTAAGGTCAATTAAAATTCAATCAGCAAGTTTCATTTGTAATAAGCTGAATATTTAATTCTTCATTTGTCAACCTTAGCAAGATTACAGCATATCGAACTTCCTAATGAGTGATATCGAATCTTATCATCTCAATTACAAACATACCACACTTTTGTGCATGTAATGTCACATCAACAAATGGGGAGAAAACACACCTTTACAGTATTTATATTGTTCACAAAAGCATGTGAGCGCAAAGACACTTCTTCTTTAAATTCCTGCACCAAGTAGTATCAGGATGCACATTAATACAGATGGTGGAAGGAACCTAGCACATTAATTACCTAACTATGGAGACCTTACCTGAAAACCAACATGCAGCCGTTTCCCACCTCTGTGGTAGGGTATAATGACAGGGCGTTTGTTGAGATATTCTTTACAGACGAGTGGTTCTATTCTGAAATAGGAAACGAGCATGCATGAGCTTGTATAACAAAAAAGATGACAAAAATTAGCAACAATAACAACAATGAAACCTGTATGCCACTGGATCAAAAGGATGGAATATGTTGAACATTTGTCGACAAGCTGGCATCTCTTCAACTATATTATCCTCTTCCCAGTAGTCTTTCCCCTTGCCTGTCATACCAGGATAAAACAGAAATAAGAAATGATAACTAAGTGAAACAGATGCACCACCATCTTTTTAATATAAAGAAGAGAAGAACTGCCATATTTCAACACCCACGAGTTGCCTAGAACCAACAAAAAAAATGAACTAACCCCTTATAAACATCAAAAGGCACCAGTCACCGCCAACATACAGAGTTTATAGCATCCACAGGATTCTTGGAACTTGCAGAACTAAAGGCAACATAATGCACCAGGAGGATTTGACAAACATTTTTTTACTGCTACTGAAGTTAAAAAGAAAATCTTTCGGCTGAGTGATATATAAAGATTAGGTTTATACGGCAGATTTGGTAAGTAGTAAAGTAATCAGCTTACAGAAACTCACAGAGGACACACACTCAACCAAGCTACTGGCAATGGAAAATGATCTGGAAAGTTAAGGTGTCCTTCAAGGTGGCCTGTTTTACTTGGCTAAATAGCAAACAGGCCGGTCTCACTCAGGATACCCGTATGAAGAGGGGCCTTCAGCTGTGCTCCAGATGCTTTTTTGTGAATGTGAAGCAGAGATAATAAATCATCTCTTTTTACACTGTAAGGAGAAGGTGAAACTTTGGCAGATTTTCATCAATATAAGGGGCATCAATTGGTCTATGCCAGGAAACATGAAGGAAGCTTTGGCATGTTGGAATAGGGACGGATATCAGTCAGGGCACAGGGAGAGATAGAAGATAGCCCCAGCTTGCATTTGGTGGACTATTTGGCTGAGAAGGAATCAGAGATGTTTTGAGAACAAGAGCTGCTCTATGGATAAGACGAAGCTGAATTGTTTGGCTCTTTTCTATTTCTGGTGTAAACATGAATACCCTTGTGAAGATGAGGATATCCCTAGTATTTTAGACTACTTATGAGTTCATAGGAGTACAGCAACACTTTTGTATTTCTGATTGTAGGTATTACTGGAATACTTCCTGAGTATTCCTTTGTTTTTCATACAATTTACCTTTTTTCAAAAAGTTTACTAATTAGATCTATGGAAACAAACACTAAATGTCTATTCAAGCAAACAGACAACAGTTTTACAGGCTTATGGTAAAATATTCAAGAGATTTGTCACAAAAGTACAAAGTATACCCCCTGCCTCCACAAGATTCAGAGGATAAATAAGCAAGGAAATCAGCATGTGTTTAAATATAGACAGTAGAAGAATTACCGATCCCAATACGAACATTGCGGAGGGAAAGAAAAACACCAAGAGGGGATCCAACAGCAAAAAATGTATCAACCTTTTTAATGAAAGAACCAAAGAATGAAACAGCCAAAGTTAGAAGATGTCTTGGAGTACCCAACAAATGGAGAATAATCACAAGAACGAAAGGTCAAATTATCAAAAGCCAGTTAAAGCATTCCAAGAAAATTGTTAATCATACCATACTTAAAAAGGATATTGAGTATTGCTAGTCTTGTACTAAAGAAATGATGAAAGCATAATACAAGCATTTAGAGAGATGAAGATTTCGATAAGCTCAAAAACTTTCTTCTAGGAGTTTCTAAAGAACATTGAAAGTCCTGCTCCAACATCAAACCAAGACTTGCCCAAACACACCCAGAAAATAGTTGCATCTTACAAAGGAGAAGTATCACCTTAAATTTCAACTTTGTGTATCTTAATTGCGGGGTAAAACTCTTTGCTGAATCACTTTCCTCAGGAATAGATTGATTTCTTGTAGCTGTGTTTGTTCCTCCATTTTCTGCTTCCGTTACACATCCTATCCCAAAGGAAATTTATAAGGACCATTTACTTTGATACACAATAGAAATGCTAAGTTAGGGGAAATTAAAAACTAATCTCCATAAATGGTTATTTGTCTAGCTGTACCTTTCTTTACACACTCGGTGTCTAATTCTTGGATTTTTGCTCTCAGCATGTCAATCTGGAGCAGTCTCATTGATGGAGAAAATTCAGTAGACAGAAAGTATTTTTAATAATGAAAAATGCATGCAAAATATGACATATCACTACCTCTTTCCTCAGGGAATTGATTGTTTTGTCTTTTTCACATTCAGATACTCCCTCATCAATCTTTTGATTAAACTCAACAATTCCATCATCCACATTCTCGGCATCATTTATAGTGTCCCTCTCATCAATAGGAGTTTCATGAGAATTTTCATTTGCTGAGGAATCATTAGGTTGCCTGATATCATCGGTTGCAACGGGTTCGTCTGAGTCTGATGAAGCAGGAGGGCCCACAGGATGACAAAAATCTTCAGTATGATCTTCCACAGACTCTGACAAACTTGGTTCTACATTCATTTTGTCTTTATCTGACAGATTACTCTTATTTCCCTCCCTAATAGAAGTTTCATCATCTGAACTTAAGGCAGAGTTTTGGTCTAAAGATAGGTTGCTCTGATCCTGCTGAGACAATTCATTCTCATTTTGTTCTTTGTACATCCACTCCATGGGAAAAGGGGAGGACAGTGTTGTTTGGTGGCATAGGATATCATATGACAAAACGCTCCCAAGGGAATGACCATACAAAGAAACCTGAGAATTTTACAAAATTTTAGTATGTATCTTTACTCTGAACTGTATACATCAAGTTCTTATAGAAATAAGAAGGAAACTTTGCATATTCAGTTAAATCTTTATACCTTCCCACTATAACCGGGATTCCTCTTAAGAAACTTTAAGTATAACATATTCAACTGGTTGGAGACCTGAATATGGAATAAACAATTAGCTCTAAACAGTAATAATTTAAAGGTAGGCAATTGATAGACCATAATGAAGTGCCAATGCATATCATATGAAGTAAAGACAAATTAATGGATGAATTTGCTAAAATGAATAAACAGAATGACCTTGAAGAAGTGTGACAACAACTATTATGCCTCAACCCATAGGAAGTTGTGGTCAAGCTACATGAACTCTCAACTCCATTTCCAATACTCAATAGTTTGGATTTCATTAATACTGTAGGTTTTCTATAGTTTCTACTGACATACAAATCTCTGAACTAAATAGATATCCTAGCAAATGTTGAACCTAAGTTTACCATATTATCATGACTAAGTTTTAATTCCAGCACAAATTTTGGTGTAAAGAGGAAGGGATAGAAGAAGTTGCACAAATTTTGGATTTTATAGGCACTTTGTAATCTATTCGCCTTTTTGTTTTTTCTCTTGTTGGAAACCAATTTTTGGAGGTCTCCAGCATATCCTTAATGCCGAGGAATACAACATTATCTTTATCAAAAAAAAAAAAGTTTTAATTCCAGCTAGTAGGCATTGCCTATATGGATATTTAGCTTCCATTGTGTTCTATTTTCAGCTGAATGTTTATGGATTGCAAGAGATTGTAGGTCTTCTTAGACTGTGACTTCAATGTAAGTTTAGGTCTACCTCGTCCCTATGTTACACCTTCAATCATCATGGTTGGAAACTCATAGATCGGTGCGATTGGAGGTATTCATACATATTAAAACCAATTATTAATGACACGCCTAAATCAGGGGTAAATGAACAGAAAACGAAATAATTCAGAAAACATAATAAAATGCCCTTCAAATCAAGTGGAGCAAATCTTTTGCAGAAAGTCATGCAGTTCACCTGAACATACCTTAAGTCACACAGGAAGGTTAATAGAGTCATTTCTAATTGTGTCAGTATCCTTACCCTTTGGTCATTCTTATTTGGTAAAATTGGTTGAATCATTTGTAATGCCTTTAGTTTTGCTCCACTAGAGTACCATGATTTTTTTCACACATAAATTTCTATTCCAGCATACATTCTATCCTGCATGCCTAGACCCCATTCAGTTCACATAGAAGCAACATTATTTCTGTAACTCTTGCAGAAGAAGGGGAGAATAGTAGTGACAAGATGTTTTTTGTGCAATGAGACTGGGGAGACGAACAACTATCTTTTTTTACATTGCAAGTTTACTTCACAATTGTGAAACCTGTTCCTCAGTCTCACAAAGACTTGAGTGGATAATGCCTGAGCATACTGCTGACTTGATGAGCTGCTGGATGAAAAGAGGGGGTAGCAAGAGTCCGGAAAAATGGTAGAGGATAATTCCTTCAAGTATATGGTGGACAATATGGAAAGAAAGAAATGGGAGATGTTTTGAAGACAAGATCAAGTCCATACATGATGTGAAATGGAACTGTTTAGTGTTTTCATTCTCTTGGTGCAAAGGAAATTTTATAGAGGAAGTAGATGAGCTGGTAGATTTCTTAGGTGCTCTGTAAAGCTTAGAGTCTAACCTTACTACCTCGTAATTTTTTTGGAGGCGGCCAGCATTCCTTAATGGCTAATGCTGAAGAATACAACAGTACTAATTATCAAAAGAAAAAACATTATTTGTGTAACTCAAAATTTCTCAAACTAGGTAACTCTTATGATTTGTAGTTATTCATTAAATACTTTAGAATAGGATCAGTTATACTTTTTTTTAAGTGATTACATGTGTATGATTTCATTCTAAGAAGGAACTATTTCTTTGCAATATATAATAGAGTCGGCACTAGTTATGTGGTATATGAGGATTTCATCATGAAAAGAAATACAAATGCTATTTTTTTTAGTTGCCAGTTTCATAAATAAAACAAAAAACAAAAAATATGCTACTGAGCATATCTTTTCCATCTCAGGATTTAGGAAAATTAGACATACATAACACATTCAAAGACAACAGGGATCCCTAGAATCACAATTCATCACAGTTACAAGCTGATAAGATTACACAGTTATATTTCTAAAATTAGGTTATGCAAACCAGGAGACAATGCCATGACTTGGAAGTGGAAGAAATGCTAGAGCTTTCGGACAATATTCAAAATATTCAGATACATCAGCTGGAGAGAAAGACAGGTTGATATGGGAAAATAGAGGTAAAGAAAGCTGCAGTCAATGAGTGGCATAAAGAAATGGTTAGTAGAAGCAATATCATTGAAGATAGACCTTTTGAAATTGATATTGAGAACAAAATCTCCAACCAAGGTATGTTGTAGCTGGCTGGCAGCTCAAGGAGCATGCTTAACACAAGAAGTTCTAAGGAGGAGAGGTATAGTTTTTGCAGTAGGTGCTTCATGTTTAAAGAAGACGGTGAAGATATAGACCATTTATTTGTGCATTGTATAGTAGCAAGGAGCTTGTTGAATTTGTTGAACAGTACCTTTGGTACAAGCTGGGTAATGCCTAGGAGCTCGAAGGAAGTTTTTGTTATTTGGAATGGATTAAGAGTAAGGAAATCCACTAGGGACAATTGGAAGATGATATAATCGTGTATTTTATGGAGCATATGGAAGGAGCGAAACCAGAGATACTTTGAAGGTATTTCAACTCCCATATAAATACTTAAATCTAGATGTTTACTAAACCTTTTTGCTTGGAGTAATTTTTCTGATCTTTTGGATTTTGTTAGTTCCAGGAGCATTTATAAGGAGATCTGCTCTGTAGGAGTTACATTATGTTTTTTCAATTACATCCCCTGGATAGTTGATTAATGAAATCCTACTTTACTTGATCTCCCCCACCAAAACAAACAAAAAAAAAATACTGGTTTTGACATATGGGAATCTTTTTTTTTATATATAAAAAAAAAATCAACAACCAAAAATCTAATGAGAAAGGTAACCGCATAGGGTGCTTGGCCAGATAGCCATACACCTTTTACAGAGAATACAAATTTTCACTTAGTTACCAATTTGTGCTCCATATAGCTATAAAAACAATTATGTGAATTACGACCCCTCATTCTCCAGAGTCAAAAGAGTTTGGGCAACGGAAGTAAAAGGTTTGTAAGAACATTCTTTTATCAGTAGAAATAAATTTTATTAAATAACAGATAGTACCAAGCTGGTACTGCAGCAATACAGAAATTAACTGGACATGGATTCCTCAAAGCTGAGGGAATCCAAGAAATCCAGCAACACATCAGCTCCAAAATTAAAAGTGCAACTTGAACATTTGAATAGAAGAAACCAGGCAGCAAATCAAACACAACAGCTGAGCAACATCAGGAAGAAGAAAGGATAGTGAGGAAAACTTGAACTGGAGAAAGCATATTAGAAGTACCGAGTCAATAATAGTCTGGCAGTAAATAGGGCTCATGTAATACAGTACATCATGCACTGTTGCACTCAACAGTACGCGCAATCCCCGTACACCATCTAAAGTACATCGTTCAACTGCAGCCTCACCACTAAGCTTTAAGCCCTTCCTCCACTGGTGGTACCCACAGTTGAAACATAAGAAAAAATAGCGTTAATTTACAAGAACAAATCAACAGGAATCAGATCAAGGGACAGACCTATGAAGAAGAAAACCCCAGAATATCACATGACAGGAATGCAAAAGATAAAACACTTGAACATGCTGAGGGACAAAGGGGAAAAAGACGTGACTTTTAAGTAACAAGATAATGCTTTAATCGAAAGGCTATAACAGCAAATTTTAGAGTTGCAGTAACACGATAACTGGAAATAGTTCCATCGAGCACCACTAAGCACAAACAATGTAAATTCAAATACAGACAGCAGTGATTATACCTACTTGGTGCTCTCACTTTGGCCTATTCTATCTTTTGCATCTTACGATCTCGAGGAGGACCCCTAAGCAGAGGGTGGATCACCTGTGGTCTCGGATTGCTAGACCTAAATCACATGTCCAATAGATGATTTTACTTACTAATTTTAGATGCTTCTAGTGTTCATCATTATTATCAACATTTTCTACAAACCCATCTGTTGCAATTACAGTTATAAATGACACTCTGATCAAGTAAGCATACATTTACTACAGAAGGACAGGATTCTCTGTTTCAGTGTAAAGATTTTGGTAAAACTTGATAATCTCTCCTTTGATCTCTGATGGTTCATCTAAGGTAGTCCCATTAATAACAAACTTATCAACGGTATTACACCTTTGTAACAGTTTGTGGTTCTATGAAAAAATTTGGTGTTTCTCTCCCGTTCTTTAAGCCACAAAGCCCTTGATCTTTGTCTCCAGGCCACTTCCTCCTTTTTTCGCATTTTCCTCAAACACCACTGTCAGGGCAGCCCTTAAGTAAGCCTCATCGTCTGTCAGTAATCTATGGTCTTGAATCTCTTCTAACTTAGTCAATTGACTAAGTATACTTTGTTTCTGCATTTCCATATTGCCCCGTATAGTTTTGCTCCAATCCTTAAGTTTCCCCTTCAGAGCCTTCAACTTGAAAGCTAAAAATGAAATCTGGCCTGCCTTCACATATGCTAGAGTCCCACCACACTTTTGACTCTATCTTTTGAAGGTTTCTGTCTGGAGCCACCAATTTTCAAATTTGAACTAATAATCTGACCTCTCCCAATTGTCACATTCAAGAACTAAAGGACAGTGGTCAGAAGTATCTCTCTGTAGAACTGACTGCTTGATGTTCCTAATGGAAACTTCCCACTCTTTCTGAAATCAAAAATCTATCAAGTTTTGCGGCAATATAATGGCCTTTATCCATGTATACTTGCAACCTGCCAATGGAATATCCTCCAGGCTCCGGCACCATCTCCTCTATGAATTCAGAAAAATCAACCATGGCTTTGTTGAATTTAGTACAGTTCTTCACAAATGGAAATCTAACTGTGTTGAAGTTCCCGGCAATCACCCAAGGCTCATTAAAAAGGCTTCCGACTGCCCCCAGTTCCAGCCACACCTCTTCCCTCTCCATCCTGACATCTGGATAAAAGCCAACAAAAATCCAGAGTTTTGCCTAACAATTTGCAGGTGATACAGTAAGAACCTGCCTCACATATCCCTCCCTCCCATATTCTGCTATCCCATAGCAATATAATTCCCCCTCTGGTACCACTGGCCTCCAATTATGCATACTTCACCCACCTATTTGCCCATAATTCTTTGATAATATCCCTAATGTCACCTTTCAACTTTGATTCTTGGAAGCAATAGACATCCGCTTTCCAATTGTTCACCATATTTCTTGGATTAGTAAGGCCCCTCACATTCCATGTTACAATATTAACCTTCATTGACTTGATTAATCCATGTATCATTAATATTTGCTTTCTTATTCAATCTTTTATCCCACATAACTTATACAAGTATTATTAATGAGGAAACAGAAAGGATCACCAAATGTTGCATTAATTAATGCTGATTGTTATGTGGAAAATAAATCTCTTCAAATCCTAAAGAAATATTGTATAAACCAATGTTGAGATTTCTTTAATTTTTTTTGGAGGATTACCAATGTTGAGTTTTATGTGGAGATTATATCTCCTAAAACCTCAACCAAAAGACCCCTAATGCATTCATAACAATGTATACCACATTAAGAAATGTAAAAGATCAACTATGAAAGCAATACCTGGCATGGGATGAAGAGGACTCTCTGAGTGCCACGTTGGTATGAGGTTAAGTGTCGTTCAGCGAGGATTGACGTGATATGGCGGAAGTCACTAACATCATCCACAAGATTTGATTTTTCCAACCTTTGACCAATCCCGTGAACCATGAACACCAGATGTCGAACAGGGACCTATACACAGCAGTATCAAGTTACACAGGCTGCACTACAAAGTTATCATAGAAGTTAAAAAGAGACCTTTCTACAAATGAATGTAAAAAGTGGAAAAGATGAGTCTTGTATACAAAACAAGTTTATGCATTTTTTTAAGGAAACATTAGTAATCTCAACTAACTTTTTTTTGATGACTAGGCAAACCAGTAGCCGCTACCCTTTGGGTGCACACAGGGTAAAAACCCCCACTCCAATGCAATAGCTTGCAAACCACATAGGAGAGGTAAACCGCACTAGGCAAGCCCAGTGAGACGAGCTCGACCCAGAAGGCAAACCCCTTGCTTTCGCTGGCAACGGGTTTCGAACTTGAGACCTCCAAGATGGAAGTCCCAAGCCCAAACCACTGGGCCACCCCGAAGGGTTAATCTCAACTAACTTGATCAGCAAAGGAAAACAAAGATATGGAAAAATTGATTAAACAGGTAATTACTGAACTCTAAAGAACATGGATAGAGACATATCATGCGGATAGAACCACCTCAATGAGTTGGACAAGAGTAGTTCGTCAAGTAAGGATTATTAATCCTTTCTAGAAATTGATTTTATGCGGTCTTATACATATGCGAGGAAGGTAATCAAAAAGGAAGGAAAATGGGCTGTTCTCTCATTTATCACTCAGGAGTTGTGTGAGATGACAGTTTTAAATGAGAGAAAGAAGTGTGAAATCCCCTTCTCAAATCTGACTTTTCCTCCCATCGTTGCTTTTCATTATGTTACTTCAAAAGTAGCTGCTTTAGCTTCAACCACTCGAATTTTCGATCAACCTTTTTACTTTCTGTGCACATATACTACCATCAGTGTCGAAAGATAATTTGAATATGTGCACATAGATGGGGAGATAGGAAAAGGACAAAGCATGAGGTCGTATAAAGAGGTTGAACTAGCTAAATAAATCAGAAACCTTTACGGCTAAAATAGAAAGGAGTATTTCAATCCACTGAGTGAAACGAGAAGTTAAAATAAGATATTAGCTTGATCTTGCAAAGAAAGTGACGGGTCATATTTTAGTTTTGAGGGAATAAAACTTCCCAACTAAAAGAATCTTATGAATTTCCAATATACCAAGTACCAGTAACATAGTACTTCTGATGCCTATCATATCTACTTTTTTTTCTTTCTTTTTTTTGGAACAGGCAACTTAATGATGATTTCATTTTTTAAGGTCCAGACAAAATAAGTATCCCCATACTCATATACCATTTGATTGATAAGTGATAGAAGTAGAACACATACACTCACATAGTAAACAAGAAGCACTTGGCCTACCTGTGAGCAGTAATCATCCATTTCTTCCTCCTTTTGTTGACGTACTTCGTCCTAAAAGAAACAGATACAGGAGTTCAATTTCAGCAAGGAGGAACAAGAGAAAACAGATTAAATCCCCAATATCAAGCCCCTTAATGGACCAAAAGCCAATCTTCACTCTTAATCATCTTTATAGCAGAAGGCATAAAAACAACTTCCTTATCGCGAAGAAATGGACCTTGGGCTAACTCAACCCCAAAAGCTATCCCATGAGGGGAGAATTGCCAATCCAAGACTATATAAGGAGACCATATGAGGTCTCCCCCTCTATGTCCACTCAAAGAAAGAGGACGCTATGAAGATGAGCACAAACCAGTAAAAAGGAAACCAACACTAGTAACTTCATATCAGAACGAAGAGAACAGACAGAAGTATTAAATTTGATAGTAAGAAAATGAGTGCCTGTGTTGGTTTCGGGGACTGAGGAAGAGCATATCCACGCCTTAGCTTAACACCATTCCCCCCAAATCCTATAGCACCTGAGAAACCAGAGGCATCAGCATTAAGCCAGGCTTCCCAAGTATCATCTTCTCCAGTGAAAATAGCATGCAGTCCCTGCATTGTTGCAAGCAAGTACATCACTAGCAGTACAACTCAAAAAGCATATAAACAAAAGCTCCATAAATTCAGCAATCTAATACCGGGATGAAGCCCTGCATATCAACTCGAGCTGCATAGAGCCCTGACGGCTGAAAGGTTCTTCTATGCCAAACCTGTGGCAGCCATCCAAGACTTATCACTATTACTGAGGGAAAATTTTGAATTATCCACAAAAAGATGAGGAGCATAAAACATTAAATGAAAAAAGAAATGTTCAATTGGATCAGTGAACAAACGGCTAACAAGGTAAAATTTTCAAATGCATTTTATTTTTTGACAGTAAGTAGTGGGAGTCCAGCATCTGCCACATGCTGTCACACATTCCTTGGCAGAACATGTAGAAAAAAGATGATAACACCAATTACATAAAAATCTTTGCAGTCAACATCAGATGATATAAATCAAAAGTGCCACTCTTAGTGATGCCAAATACCTTACTGCGATATGCAAACTCCAACTGCTCAGCAACATCTTCACGTAGTGGAAGCCAATCCAGACCCCCTTTACGAGCAAACCAGTGACCTCTTAAGACACGACGATTTTCTCCATTCCAGTAAACAGGAAAACAGTGTCTCTTCACCAAATCTACCTGCAGAGTGATGACAGTCATTATTCAGGAATTTATTTTCTGACGGTGTGATTACCCCCTTCCAATTAATCTCGTATGCAGAGGTTGAAACCAGATTCGCAAACCAGATAAGATTCCTAGGCAAGAACCACATAGTCCATGCTACATCATGCATAATTTACAGATATCACATGTTCTACCCTAAGATCTTTGCCATCGGCGAACATCTTTATAAATTTTGTCTTAACCCTCTCCTCTTAGTAGGTCTATATTCTGTGTAATAGGTTCTTTTTTGGTTTCACGAGTCATTATGACAGTACAAAAGGCAAGTACTCTTCCTTGATGGACTAACAGGCAGTAAAAAATATTCATCCAAAAAGAGAGTGAAATGGACAGAGGATACCTCATAGAGGCCACCCTTAACAGGGACCCCAACTCTTTCTTCTTCAACTAAATCTTCATGTGCTTGAGAGCTCTCCGGAGAAGATATTTCTGATGCAGAATTGAGCCTATTTGGTGCCCCCTTTGGACCCTCACTGCACTCCCCATACTCTTCCCACCAAGAAGAAAGCAACTCATCCTCTCTCTGCATAGGGCAAACCAATTAATACCGCAGATATCGACAAACAATATTGCAGATTGTAATATCCAAACAAGTTATACCATGATATTCTTTTTGTTTCCATTCTTTCGGACAGTACATGATGACCATTTTTATACAAAAGCTTGAACTTTGCATAATCAAGCAGAAATGAAGCAAATATGGGGCAATAGCTCTTTATCACGTACTAGCAAATGTTATACTGACTGGGCCATAGATTAATTATTTACAGATGAGAAGTAATCCAAATAAACAGAACTCTGGTCAGAAAACATTACCTGCAAGAAAGAAGCCTCAATTGCAAGAGAATCTCTCAAGCCAAATCTAAAGTAATCACCCTTTCCCACTACTTCTGTTTTGGGGACTGCTGCAGCAGGCTCTGTGCAAAAGTGAAATCCACAAAGGACAACCTAGATTTATACACGAATATGACAGCTCATGCTCACAGCAATTGATAAATCTATAATATTTGGACTCTCGAGTTTAAAGAAGATCAGCAACTTATCGGAGAATTCTGACTCATGAATACACTTTAAACCAGAAAGTACAACCTGGCTCATCAAGAGTAAAGCTTCTGATGGTATGATGAACTCCTTTGAAGATCACTAAATCTAGGCAAATTGAACTTACTGTTATAGCTGGCTTTTAGAATCTACAATGTTGTTACTCAGAAAACTTATGTATAATTTTTAGTCCAGACATTTTATGTTTTTAAGCTGCAGTAGTCGGGTTCAAAAGGAATGCAACATTTTGGAGGACAACAATCCCTCAGAACCATATAATGAACAGCGTAAGGATAAACAGCAGAATAAACTAGCAAGTTGCTTTTCCAATTGATTGTTCCCAAGGTAGAATCTCAAAGAGGAAAGATATCCATGAGTCAAATACGTGGCTGTACTCCTTTGAGCCAATACATTAACGACTTTCTATTTCAATTCAATTTTTCCTACTGAACTATGCTTCAATCCAAAACTTGGTGGTGGCAATATGAATCTTCAACATCCATTCAGCTTTATTCGAGCTTAATTTGTTTTAATAATCCGTCTTTTAAGGTAATTTAGGGTCTGTTGGTTCTCTAAAACTAGGGATTTTTAAAATCTCACAGGATACACTGACATACAAGTCCTCACCAATCTAAAAAGTCTCCTAACAACATCAGAAAGAATGTAAGTGCAACAACACAAGTACACAACTAAACCATAATCAAGACTAGTTGGTATTCCATTGTATTCTGTTCCCACTTCTTCTTCTTTTTTTGTGACAAGGTTTTTATCAATAAAGTACCAAGAAGTTTCTGAAGAAGTCCATCATAAGATTACAAGCTATAGCCAAAAGTGACAACCCCAGAAACTCAAAAAACTCAAAATTTTGGGATATAACCACATCCTAATCCTACACTAAAATTAAGTTCTGTAAGCATCAACGTCTAACAAGATAAATATGAAGCATTTGGTATTCAAAGGATCTCTTATTCCTCTCTAACCAAAAAGTCCACATGATGCATAAAGGAATGGTTTTCAAATTTGTTTCAAGCTTCTGCTCACTCTCTGATTCTGCCTTAACTTCCCCCGGAAAAAAAACAGTCCACATGATGTATAAAGGAATGGTTTTCAAATTTGTTTCAAGCTTCTGGTCACTCTCTGATTCTGCCTTAACTTCCCCCCAAAAAAAAAAAACATGTCCACATCGTACATCTGCTACAAGCACTTCAACATACAGAGAAACAAAAAGCAACATGTCACAACACATGACATGTGGAGTTCACATTTCAAACTCAATCAAAACAAAGAACTCAAACAAAACAAAGAACTCAAACAACTTTTAGAGAAGTTTGCAAATATGAATGCCAACACGGGACCTAAAACATTTACAGCTATGAGTAGAACATACGGTTTACTGCCAAAGGCATCTTGCAGAAATACCAACGAACATCACCACCATCTGACGGACTTCTAGTCTGAGCAAGGTACTTTTGCCTCCCCTCTAAGTGTTCAATCTCATCTGCTAACCTCCTAATATTTGATGGTGTGTTCTTCAACATGTCCGGAGAGGTTTCATCAATCTCACCTTTCGACCCAGAAACAGATGCCATTTCCTCCTCCTCCTGAACCTCAACCTCACAAAAGTCCAAACACCTCTCTACCAGTCAACTAGACCTTCACAAGAAAAACAGGCAAGCAGCATCAGCATCCACAAAATACAACCTCAGAAATCTCAGTCAAGTGAGTATCAACTTGAAAAAATTATAAGTTTTGTCCAGCTGAAAATCTTGAATATGCAACAAAATCTAACTTTTTTCTATATGAATTCATCAAAAACATGTGCAACTAATTTGAGGCCATGAATTAAATAATGCCTTTCAACAGATGCCGTTACCTCCTCCTCAACCTCCCAAAAGTGAAAAGTCCAAACACAGTCAACTAATACCTACAAAATAAAAACAGGTATGCAGCATCAGCATCAACAAAATACAATCTCAGAAATCTCAGTCAAGTGGGTATCAACTCAAAAAAATAAGTATAAACTTTTCCCAGCTGAAAATCATGAGTTTTTCTTAGTTTCTTTGAAATTTTCTATAAGAATTCATCAAAGAAATGCTCAACTAATTCAAATCATGCCCATCAACAGATGCCATTACCTCCTCCTCCTCCCCAACCTCAACCTCACAAAAGTGAAAAGTCCAAACACAGTCAACTAATACCTACAAAATAAAAACAGCATAACCATAAGCAAAATACAATCTTAGAAATCTCAGTCAAGTGGGTATAAACTCAAGAAAAATATAAACGTTTCCCAGCTGAAAATCATGAGCTTTTCTTAGTTTCTTGAAATTTTCTATACGAATTCATCAAACAAATGCTCAACTTATTCAAGGGCATGAATTAAATCATGCCCATTGACATATCCCATTACCTCCTCCTCCTCCTCCTCAACCTCACAAAAGTGAAAAGTCCAAACACAGTCAACTAATACCTGCAAAACACAAACAGCATAACCATAAGCAAAATACAATGTTAGAAATCTCAATCAAGCGGGTATAAACTCAAAATAAATATAAACTTTTCCCAGCTGAAAATCTTAAATTTTTTCTTAGTTTCTTGGAATTTTCTATACGAATTCATCAAAACAAATGCTCAACTGAATTAAAGGCATGAATTAAACCATACCCATCAACAAAAAATATGTTCTTTAGATATTAAAAACTTGGAAATTGGAAATGGGTATTGTGAATTGAAGATTAACATATAGTCTTGGTAACAAAATTCACCTGAAAATCAAGAATTAAAGGGTTTTCTGGATTCTCAGAGAGGATTTTGTACTATTTTTCCGTGTTAATTTTAGATTTGGAATCTAACGACGAAATTGAATCGTGTTGAAGGAGGATATTGAATTGTATAGAAAAAAAAATGAAAGAAAAAGAAACAACGAGAAGAATATATAAGTTTTTAAGGAATATTCTGTTAAACTCATGAAAAAAATTGAAAAAGGGAAAATTAATGGTTTAACTTAATCAAATCTCATTTGATGGGGACAAGTTATCAACGATAATTGATTTTGGAATAAGCTATTTCGTAATTTTATTTTTGTCAAATATGATATACACTTATTTTAAAATTAATTTCAAAATTAGTAATTCTTATCCTTCGTATTAATTTCAAAATTAGCTATTTCGTGTGTTATTTGAATTCTTTAAAAAATATAAGTGCATATTAAATTTTTGAAATATATATAACATAGCTTAATGGAATTAATTGTTGTTGAATTATTATCAACTATAGAAAATAAAAACAATGAATTGATTTAGCCATTTTATTTTTCAATTTTTTAGATTTTTTTAAGTCATTTGGTAAATTGTACATATTGATTGAATTTTACTTAATAATACAAACATAAATCGATGATAGCGAATCATTAATGTACAAGAAAAAATAATGCTTGATCTTTAGGAAGAAACTAATAAGATGGAAACTCTTGAAATATAAATGAATTCAAACGTAAAAGTTACAAAAACAAAAAATATTTTAATTTCAAAATATGTGTTCCTCTTTGTGAGACAAAAAAACAATAACATATGAGAATTAACACTGCAAGAAGCAACATAATAAGTATTTATTTATATTTAATTAATAAATCAAGGATCTTTCAAATTAAAATTTATTTATTTTTATGAAATAGAAATAAAATTTGCGTACGCATTATTATTTTTTATCTCTATTTATGAGATTAAATAGAATATGTTATTATCGTCAAACAAAATTTGGGTCATATTGAATTATTATTTTTGACACTCTCGAGTGAAGGGTCTTATAAGATGAATAATCGACATCATGATTCTTTCATATCATAATGAAACATGTCAAGTGAGTAGTAGTGTTGGATTGTATACTCACACTTCTTCTTTGAGCAACATATATGTTAATGTTGTAAAATGCTCGTATACAAGTTAAACTAATGCAAGGGAGTGAATCGTTTCTATCAACCCTTCTATTTTACGGGTCAAGTTTTTTTACATCGTTTTAATTGTCGTTGGCAATAGATAATTCAAATATATTAAAATATATATATATTTGAATTTTTTTTGGGTAGAATTTTTTTTTAAAAAAAAATTGTTATACAGATTTCATCAGCATATTTATATACCATTGAAGCATGATGAAATTAAAACCACTCATGGTGATATATCAAATACTATAAGTGCAAAAATAGTTTTCAATATTTAGGCCTTATTTATTTAAAGGTTTGAATTTGAATTATTGAGACTCCAACTTATTAAGTGTGCTTGTTATTTTTGTTTAATCTTTACCACTCAATAGATCTGTTTTAGTCAAACCTAAAATGAAGTCTGAAGATCATTCAATGTTCCTTGGTTATTGAATTTTGTAGTGTTTGTGAATAATTTACATTTTTAATAAACAAACGTCTTTTCAAGTAATAAATTTGAATATTATATGTATATATACATTGTTTATGATTTTTTTATAGTTTAGATACATTAAAAAATTATCAACTCTATAAATTTATATATTTTATTAGTTTAGTGATCTTATTATGTTATATTAATATATTTCCTCAAATGTATTATTGATATAATATTTTAATAATTATATTGTTTAAATTTGATTTTGTGGGACTATAATGATTAGTTATGTACTTATGTTATTACTAGTCCGAACTAATTTAAAATGATTCTTTTGTCTTCCAACTTAGAGTGGTTTAAAATGAATCACAATCATTAATTTAAATTGAATTCTTTTTATTGATTTATGAATAGTTAGTTATAGGTTTGAAGATTTTGGTAATTACTTTAAAAGAATCTCAGGTTATCGATTTTTAACAGTTTAATATTTTTTCTTACATGATAATTGTTGGGATATATACTATTAACCATGTGTTTAGATATAGTATTTATTACAGAATAATTATTTATTTATATTTAATAGATCATGTATTGGTTTATGGTATCTGTTTACTTATATAGTACTAGATGATTTAGTGTATTTAAATCATCGTTTCTTTTAAGTGTAAAGTTTTTTGTTCACAATCTAAGATGAGAATTGGAAATGTCATCGGTATGATTGTAGCACAAGATTATATGTAGTTTATCTTGATTATGGGAATGGTATAATTCCAATTTCTTGTGCTAGTGCATTTTGTATGTATTGAACGTGACCGAGTAGAGATAGTTTCTTTAGACTGACTAACAAAATCATATTCTCTAAACTATTAAATGTACTAATATTCTTAATCCTGATAACTATTATGATCTGTGTATGTTAATTATCGTTTTGATTTATTAAATGTGAGATTCTAAGATGGATCAATATGCCTGGTAGATTGGATAATGATAATATATATTGGTGAAATAATAAGTTAGTTGACAGAATTCATGTCTTGACATAGAGATTGATGATATGCCTTTTTGAGAAGCTTATAAGTTTTCATCGTGTCAAACCTTGCAACTGGATTTATGAATCCGACACATGAAATAAGTCATGCAGTGCTCTAAAGAAAATTGATCATTGAATTAAATTCGTCAATAATTTAATTTATTGACTAGTATCTGTAATCTTAACATGGAGAACTACATATGCGTTCAGTGGGGAATTTCTAAATATAAATAGAGGAGTGCAATTACGAATTTCTAGTGGAATGATTTGTAATTTATTATGGTTAAAATAGTTCAAATTAATTATTTGAAATTATTTTCATAATAGAAAGCCTCAGCAGTTAATTATGTAGTCTCTACCGTGCCCATATTTAACTAGAACTCAGAATCTATTCTAAGGGGAAAAAAAAGAAGTATGTGTCTTTCTCTATTCTAAAGAAAAAGAGAAGTATGTGTCTTTCTCTATTCCAAGAAAAGAGAGAACTATGTGTCTTTTTATATTCTAAGGAAAGGGAGAAGTACATATCTTTTTCTATTCTAAGAAAATAGAAAAATACATGTCTTTTTCTATTTTAAGGAAAGGGAGAAGTATACGTCTTTTTCTATTCTACGGAAAGACGATGTGTTTCTTCTCCTCCTTGGACTAGGAAGAAATCTCTATAAATAGGGATTCTTCTAACCCTTCAAGGAAGAGAAGTTTTATATACGATACTTGCCCATCCAAGTATTGAGAATTCGGAAGTGAACTTGGGATCACTGTAAACGACCGCAGAATTGTTGTCCCGTTTATGGATTAGCTTGTGGATTCGCTTAAAGGTATCTATGTTCACCCTTGAAGAGATAAATCTTGAATTTAAATTCAGAATTTTTATGTGTTTTAGCATAAATTATGTGTTGTCTATTATTCATGTAAGTAGTATGATTCTAGTGTGCTTCCGTTGTGCATATTGTTTTCCAACTATAATAAATTATGGGGAAAATCACACCATATACACATTTAAGGGACAATATTACAAGTTTTAAACACACTCTTAAAAAATTCTACCTTATAACAGTTTATTTACGGGTTATAACATATAACTTAAATTTAACTTTATTTAAAAATCAATTACAGTTTTATTTAAAAATGATTAATCTCTTTATATTTTTATATTATTAATTATTAATAGCTAACTAATTTAATTGCAGTTCCTTTTTTAAAACCGAAATTATCAGTTACACGAATTTAGGAATTTACATTGATTAGACTTCCTTGTTTATCGTTACACTCTAAATATCTCATACACCAATCACAGTTCCCCGCCCACCCACACCTATCAGTTTCTACACGCCACCACCCCACTACCCCATATTCACAATTTTCACTCCCATCTTCCTCACCACTCCACTACACCACATTCACAACTGTGCATCCAATCTTTCTCACAACCCCAATACCCTAACTCCACAATCGTCTCTCTCGTTACGTTTCTCATCATCATCATGTCTAAGAAACACATTGAAATGCCTCGAAAGAGTGCCAGATCAGTTGAAGGAACTTCTATTGATGAAGTTCATGTTCCAACTTTCAATATATTAACTCAAACCCCCCGCCTAAAATTGCTGAAATTTCGGCGATGTGTGGTTCATCTCAGTTGAAAGATAAAAAGGAGAAAAAAAATGAAGCAAAGAAAAGGGCGACTTCGGCAAATCAAAAGGGGAAGAAGAGGAAAGGAAAAATTGTTGAAACCCCTTCTGAATCTGATTCTGATTTTGTTAGTGAAACAAAAAAGAAAAAAAGAAAAAAAAACAACAAATGTAGAAGTTGCTCAATCTTCAAAACCATCAACAAGAAGAACAACAAAAAAGAAGGAATCAGAAATACCAACATCCAAAAAACACAAAAAAGTTGTTAGGGTAAGTACTTTTTTTAATTTATTTCCACATTAGACAAAATACTGATTTTTTTATATCACATTATGCTTATTGTTGTTTTCGAAACATTTGTATGTGTGAAAATTGTTCGAAATATGAATAAAATGTGTATGGATATGAGGTTAATGTTTGATTGTTGGATTTTGTATGTATTTTGATACAATATTGGTATGCGAATGGTATGAATTGTGTATTAACATTGGTGGGATTGTCTATTAATTTTGTATATGGTATGAATTATTAAATTGATGTGAATAAAATTGTATGAATTGTTTAATTACTTTGTTTTATATAAATTTAGAATAATATTGATATGAAATTGGGATTTTTCCTATTAAGAAGGTTTATTTTTCAATTTATCCATTAATGTATTAAAATTGTTAAATTATTGTTAGCGTAATTAGATAAATTTATGAAAATAGATTGATGAATGCAACAGTGCAAATGAAGCTGGTATGATGTTTGAATAAAATTGGTGTGAATTTTATTTATAAATATGGCAGTACTAAAATTTATATATATGCATGTGTATGAAACATAAATAATATTTGTATGAACATACTTTTATATTATTATTTTTATCAATGTTTATATGATTTTGATTTAT